CCCCCCCCCCAAGTGCAGTTTGGCCCTGGGCTGCTCTCACCCCCGCTTGGGGCAGGGCCACCTCCAGAGGCACCTGCTTGCCCCGTGCCAGGGGTGGTGGGCACGGCTGGCTGCGGAGCAGGAGAAGGGAGGCCGGGGCTGGGGGAGCTGGGGAGGGCGGGGGGGGCTGGATCGCAGCCGCTTGGAAGTGGAAAAACTGCCTGAGCCAAGAGCGTCTGGTTTGTAGATCCCGGGACGGGGCTGTGGGAGCGGGGCCAGGCCCTGCCTGTGCTCGGCAGCATCCCCAGACCGCGGGGCCAGGGCCGGCGCTGGGCATCCCACCGGGGTGGCACCAGGCTCTGCCATGCCGTCCCTGCTCAGGGAGAGGGTCCCCTCAGCCTGGGGGACACCGCACTGGGTTTGGGGTTCAGCAGCCTTAAAAACCCAGGCACCCACGAAGCCTCTGGAGGAGCTACACTGAGCAGGGATGGGGCAAGAAGCAAGTGATTTTGTGCCTTCTCATGAGTCCCAGCTCAGACTCTGCTCGGTGCCACCACAAGAGGAGCCAGGATTGTCACCGCTGTCCCCGCACGGTGGCATGGAGCAGTGGACGTGCCTGGTCGTGGTACCAGGCTGGGATGAGACACTGGATGGGATTCAGAATTGAGGGAAGGACAGGGACAGGCACCGGCTCATGCCAGGGTGATGTGCTGGTGGCCAAGGAGGGCTCCTGTCCTCGTCATATCCCATGGCATGTGTGTGTGCCCGTGCCAGTATGCCCTGAGAATCACCGGTGCCAGTACGTACCGGGCATCACCAGCCCCACAGAGTGTTTTGGAGGGCATCAGGGGATGCAGGTGGGAGATGCTCCCAGCCACGGCTCGGCATCTCACGGTGTTTGCAGCACCCGTGCTCCCCAGGAGGGCTGGGAGGTGGCATTGCCCGCAGCGACATCGCAGGAGGACCGTTGGGTCCCCGGTGTCGTGGCTTCCCCCACCCCCGGGGCGGGAGGTGTTGCCCGGGGCTGTTGCCAGCCCGGTGCTCCGGTTACCGGAGGCGCGCGGCCGGTGGTGCTCGGGGTTGTGCAAACAGCGTGTGGGCGCGGGGCCGCAGGCAGCGGCTGCAGCCAACGCAGACAAGGGCTGTAATTTGCTGGCGCAGCACATCGGCAGCCGGACCAGGGACGACGCCAAACGATGCTGGAGCCCAGCCCAGCGCCCCGACCCCGCACCGATGGCTGCCCCGGGCTGGGGCTCCCTGGGTTGGGGCTCCCTGGGCTCTCCCTTGGGCCCCCCCCATTCCATCTGCCCCAGCCCTGCTGGCTGCGGGGGCATCAGGCTGGGCTTGGGAGCTGATTTGGCTGGAGGGATGTGTGTGTGTGTATGTGTGTGTGTCTATATGTGTATGTGTGTGTGTGTGTGTGTGTGTATGTGTATGTGTGTGTGTATGTGGTTGTGTATGTATGTGTTTGTGTGTGTGTGTGTGTTTGTGTGTGTATGTGTGTGTGTGTGCATTTGGCAGAGCTACTTCCAGGAGTGTGGGGGCTGTTGCCACAGGGTCCAGGGGGGGTCGTTTGCCCCTTCCCACGATGCATGGAGACTGGGGGCCCCAGCTCCCCCGTGTGCCATTGCTTCTCCTTTGGCCAAGGGAGGGCTCTGGTGGTCACCAACCCTCCCGTGCCCTCGATGTGTCTGGGCGAGGATGTTTTTGTGCAGGAACCCCCCCTGTCACCACAAAGCCACATTGGGGTTTTGTGTGTCACCCACCCAAGTGCACTCGTGTCCGTGCACCCACATGCCCGGTGGCTGGGCACCGGTGCGATCCATGTCCCCGTCACCAGCCACACGCCGCAGCGTCGGTGGCTTTTGGGGACACAGGACATCACCCACCGTGGGCAGAGGCTGTTGGCAACGCACCCCCCCAGCCCGGCCAGGACAGGGGCCGGGTTTCTTACTAAATGGCTGGAACCAGACCCGGGAACCAAAACCAAGAGCCGCGCTTCCAGGAAGCCTGGGACAAACTTTGGAAGCCACGAGGAGCTCAGAGAATTGTTTGTTTTTTCCTGAATCCAGGTGGTTTTGGCTGAACTGTCCCCACCAGTGTCTGGGCCTGTGCTCCAGCGACGCTTCTCTGGGAAAGGGTTTTCAATGAACTAAAAATTCCACCTACGGAAGACGGTGCTTGGCGGTGGGCCTGCTCCCCGTCCCAAAGCAGGGAAAAGCAGCCATCCCAGTTCCCCGGGAGATGAACGCTCCTGGCTGTGGCTGGATTTGGTGATGCAGGGGAGCAGCACTGGGGACTGGGATCAGTGGGGGCAGCGCTGGCCGGGCTCAGGGGGCGGCAGCACCATCACCCCCCAGAGCATTGTTGTTTGGATCTGAAGCTCCAAATGTTCATATTCCCCTTGTGCTCGTCGCAGCCGTCGTGAGCAGCATCACGATAAACACGAGGGAGTAAAGCCCCGCTGGTCCTCGGGCTGCACAGCCCCATGGGGTCCCAGGCCTGGGCACAGCGCTAATTAAATGCTGGTTAATGAAACCAATGTTGGTTAATGAAAAATGCTCTGCACACAGTGACAGCTCTGCCCTTATTGATGACTCCCAGCAGACGGGCAGGGGGCAGGCAGGATGCAGGCAGGGCTCAGGCAGGAGGCAGGGAGGAGGCAGGAGGCAGGCAGGAGGTGGGCAGGGTGCAGGCAGGATGCAGGCAGGGTACAGGGAGAGCACAGGCAGGGTGCAGGCAAGAGGCAGGCAGGGTACAGGCAGGGTGCAGGTAGGATGCAGGCAGGAGGCAGGCAGGGCACAGGCAGGAGGCAGGATGCAGGCAGGGCACAGGGAGAGCATAGGCAGGATGCAGGCAGGATGCAGGCAGGAGGCAGGGTGCAGGCAGGAGGCAGG